ATATATGTATCCTCAGAATTCAGCAAAGTGTCTTGTATACTCAATAAATGTTTACCAAAGTTTAACTCTTGAAAATGTCAGGGTGAACTACAGGATTAAGGTTACAACTGTCCCAAATATGCCCTGCAGTTCAAAATAGCTCAGAATAGGACAAAAGTAGTGACCAAATCGTCACTATCCTCCCTATGATGAGATTCCTGTAATACAAGATTCTGGTTCTTACCATGTATAATGTTATCAACAAGAATCTTGAGGATTATCAGACCTATTTGCAACTCTGTTTAGGAAAGCTAATATACCTAATTATTAAGTATATCTCCTGAAATCCCATCCCTCTTCATACACTCATCTCTTCTAATACTTCAGCCTCTTTCCCAGCTGGTGCTTACTTATTTAGATTGTATATTCACTTAGTAGCCAGGCACACAAAACAAGACATAATAACAATGGGATTTCCCAGAACCTGACAATCTTTTCAACAGAAGCTTCCTTAGGACCCCAAAAGACAATAAGAGAACAAAGAATAAAACGTCCATAAGCAAAATATTTTGCATAATGGCAGATTCACTGGCTAGGGGAGAACAAATGAATTTTGAATCAGGGTTTAAAAGTGGGAGGAGCAGGAATAGAAAAGTAAACTGCAAAGTGAAATGAACAAAACAGGATTGCCACACAGAAAGAGGAAACTAAACTTACTTTTTGATGGAAAAGGGTGGGGAAGTAGGATGTAGTATAGGAAACAGGCTGGGTAAGAGCTCCCTTTCTCTAGGAAACATGATCAGATGAGGCACTCTCTCAGAAGCCGAGTGGTGAAAGACTGGACTTGGAGCGCAGCAGAATGGAGATTCCCAATCCTAGGGCATCATGAAGTACCATATAACCTTAAACATCCCAGTTGAAAGAGAGAGAAAAGAGAGACTAGGGACTTTGGTAACTTACTCAGTATCAAAAGGGGTAGTCTGACACCTCCCAAGAAAGTACTTGGCAGGTTTACCAGAGAAAATAACCCCTTCTCTGCCTTGATCTGTTATCATCTATTGTTCAACTTCAAAGGCTTTAATTTCCATTAGTCTCCCAAAAGATTAGTTTTTAAAGAACAGCTGTTATGTAGTGGAGAGCCAAAGGTATTATCAGCAGTTTTATATCAGCTCAAAAAAAGCCTGCAAAGACCATCAACAGGGTCAAAAATAAAAATAAAAAGCACAGCAGGATACTCTAGCACTCAAACCTAGTGAACAAGTTTCTAATCAATATCAGGCACTGTATGTGTGCAGGATTAATTCACTAAACCTATCAATGAACATAAGAACCATAATGTATAAATGGTTAAGTCAGAAGCAATGGAAACCTAATACCAAATCTTCATTTTTTTTAATGCTCTTATATACCAACAAGGAAAAGGAACCAAACTTCTCCATAGACAATTATTGCCCTTCCTTTAAAAAAAGAAACAAACAAAAAAACCTTTTCCACCCTCAAAATTCCAGTGTCTGTAAAAAAAACTGATACCTATGTAGGATTAGAGGGAGAACAGAGACCTAAAGTAGGTCTCTAAAAGTAAGTGCATTGGATTAAGTTCTAGATATTATACATTTACAAATTTAATTTCCCCCCTTAGGTTTCACTAACAAGATGGCTCACTTAAGTATAAACTCCTAGTCACTCATAAGAAAGAAAAATAGAAAGAAGAGAGAGTCTGTCAGGTGGGCCTAGAAATTGCTTATGATGTATACAATGAACACAGACAAAAAGATTTCTGCACAAGAATGGTTGCACTATGGGGTTATCAGATTACAGCACAGTTTACTGGTTGGGCACAGCTAAAGAGAACAAAGGCATCACAGCCATAGATGGATGAGTGGGCCTCAACGAAAAAGTCCCAGACAAAAGTGACCCAATGTCATGTCCTCTGGGGTTTTTTTACTTGGTGGTTACAAAGAGAGAGGGCTGAATGGAATCAAGAATAGAGCAGGTCACTTAGTATTCCTGATATTCAAATGGGAATGGTGACAATTTCAGACATACATTGTGATGACTGTTTAGACAGCACTGCTCACCAAATGAGACTGCTGTTCTGGCCCTTCAGGAATCAAAAAGAGCTACAGTTTATGGGTATCTAAGAAATAAAATGCCTGTCCACAAAATTCAGACTTCACTTTATTGGTCTATGTTTATTTCAGGTGACCTGATTCCACTAACCTCCAAATCAAGCCAAGGAGAGGAAAGATCTGACCCCTTTCAATAATGGGAGTGAAGGTTCCAGGCTAGGTAGTGTATTTCAGTGCCTTGGTGGACTAAGATAAGCGAGAAACAAAGATTAGGATATAGATGCTGCACACTGGTGTGTGACAGATGGCTACACTGTCAGCCCCTACACATCATCTTTAATTTTATTAAGATGGTATCATTGTCCCAAATACCAAAGACTGGAGGGAAGGGGAAAATCTCTCATACAAACCAAAAAGTTCAACTAAAATGACAACCTCTCCCACTACTCATTAACAAAATGTAAGAATGAACCTGACAGTGGCTGATTTAAGATATTTACCAGTCATTGTCTTCCCAAAATCCAAACATGTTAATTACCCCACTAGGAAGAGATGTTAAGCAACTCTTACAGCTTATGATTTGCTACACCCTGTATTTCAGTTTGTTAACTGATCATTAGGAAGCAGCCGAGGCCTGATGGGCGAACAATCTGAAAGCAGGCAGGAGACTAAACTCTGAGGCAGGTTTAATAATGATGGAGACCAGCTCTTGAACATTGGCTCTTCCTGAAAGGGATGGCAAAGCTTTTGAACACCCACAGATTGAAGAGTGGCTCCTCTCTAAGGGTCACCCAAAGCCCACTCCCTTCACTTTAGTTTTAGTCTTGCTAGAAAACATTGCCTGTGAAATTCCAGAGTTTTACTGAAATGTTAACACTTTAAATGCAAGAATAAAGAGCATCAAAATGGAGGAATGATCAGTTTATTTCAGGGAATAAAAGAATACGTGTTGTGTGCCCAGAATGTCACCTCATAAATATTTAGGAAATCATAAGTTATGTCCTATTTGTGTCAATTTCCTAATTCCCCTGGAGCCACAGATACAATTATCTTCTCCAATTACACAAAATCTCTTTCTTATTAGCTTTCTGGCACTAGGATCAACCTTCTGAAAAACATGTCCATGGAGGGAAAGAAACCATCAGATTAAAACCAAAAGTACCCATATACATCTAAATATATAAAAATGCATCACACTACATTTGGGCATAAGCATGCCACTGATCTCAAGTTTTCAGACACATTATAGGAAGCAAAATAATTTTAAAAGTAAAAATAGTTTGGTTGCAACTTCTTAAATAATTTACGAGAGAAAAGAAAGGGGAGGAAGAAATATATAATTGCACAAAGTACTTTTTTAAAAAAGATGTACAATTTTAAGCTGAATATTTCATACCCATTAAAACAGGTGTGGCAAAATACAACCCAAAACTAACAAGTGACTTTCTGGTAAAAACAGGAGAGTTAACAATACATAAACATTTCTTTTTTTAACTTCCAGCTGACAGAAGACACAACACTGACCACAGGACACAAGGCCCACAAAGTTAAGAAGTGTAAACTAGTAATATCAGGAAGGCTAGAATTAGGATTCTTTGTAGCAGGAAAGGAGGGGTGAGAATAGAGGGAAAAGTATCATTAAGTGACAAACAGATGTTTCCTCCTTATTGTTAAACCTATCCATCTGGTCAATCTCTTCAGAAAACAGCCTTAATCAAAGTTTTGGAACACAAACATAAGCTCTCACAGGTAATCCAGTAGTAATAGACCCCACTTTTTTCTAGCTAATTAATGACAAGTCTGATTAAAGACCATATATAATAACTATTCTATTTTTCCCATTTCTACTTGGGGGATCAGACTTTCAGCCAAGGACCGAAGGCAGTCATTTTCCAAGTGTCCCTACCTCAAGCTAAAAGTGACTCCCCAAAATATGTGCAACATAAATAAAACTTCGACTAATGAAATGTCTAAGCTTTATACTCAGCCATTCAGCTCATTAAGAGTGTGAAAGCTAGGTCCCTAAAAACCAACTGATCTATTCAGAATAGGAAGAGAGGGGGAGATCAAGAAGTGGAAATCAGCTCAGGGACATCACCAGGAACCATTTAAGACAGATTTTGGTTAGAGCAGCATTCCCAGCTCACTGGAGGTGGCAACAATATCCATTCCATATCATATATTTCCAAAGAGGGTACTTCCACCCAAAGTTTCCTTAAAGATTTTTCATCAATCCCCAGCCCTTTGCACCATCCCTTTCCAATCCCTGACTCACATCCCCTTCCTCCCCCAACACCACACACTTTCCCTCCCACAGACACTCTGCTGTTTTTTCTTCTGGGCTCCTCACATCCTGCTGCTCAGCCCACTCCCAATCTCCCCCAAATTCTTCTGCCTGTCCTGAGACCCCAATTCTGTGGCCTCCTTTACCAAGCCTCGACCCCTCCCCCGGACTCCCAAAGGCACTTCGCCCATCCTTTCGCAAGCCTCACTCCCCAAAACTCGGGTGCAACCTGAGGCCCCACCTTTGCCTCTCAGACCCTCTTGTGGAGACCCCAATTTCTCGCACTCCTGAGGGGGGGTTTCTTTCCCCTGCTTTCGGGCCCCCACCTCCCTGACCACAAACTCTTCAGCCGCGTCGAGCCCCACGTCCCCTGCCTCCCCCGCCCCCCAGTCAGTAGTCCTACGTTCTTTTGGGGGTCCTATGTGTGTCTCTCTGCGTCTCCCAAATAAGCGGCCGGTCGCCACCTTCACACACAAACGCTCCCCTCGATTCCTCCCCTGACTCTGAACTTTCCCAGCCGCGGGTCTCCGCTCTCGGCCCCCTCCGCCAAGCCTCCGCACTCACTCCCCACCCCGTCCCGCTCCCGGCTCCAGCCCCTCTTCGGGTCCTCCCCAACCCAAGGCCCCCGCCCCCCGCCGGCGGGCCTCCCCACCCGACTCCTGTCTCACCTAAACTGGAGGAGCAGCTACTGCTCCCCAACTCCAAGGAGGTAGTCCCGAGCGTCGACGACCCGGAGGACGACGCCATCTTGGCAGCCCCCTCCCCCCCACCCTGGCGCCCTCGCTCCGTCGCAGGTCGGGCTTTTCCCCTTCGCGGCGTCGAATCTCCCCCGACAGGCTCCGCAAGCAGCCCGCTTCCCGCCGGCCGGCGCCCCCTCCTCGAGGGCCTCCCTCAGAAGCGTCCGGCCGGCTCCGGACCCGGCTCAGGACCGCACCATTCGTCCGGCACAGGGGGATTCTCCCCCTCTCTCGGGCCCCGACACCTTAAAGATCTCAACAGGAACTCCTTTCCCCCTCCACCCTGGAAACTCTTTGGTGTAGCCCGGACCGCTTTGGCCACGCCTTCGGGCTGAACCACACCTAAAGAAAAAAGGGGGCGTGAGAAGTCCCCTGCTGAACGAATCCCAACCCCTGTCAGAGACTTGTTTATCGTCCAACTCCAGAGCTCCACACTGGGTGTCTAGGAAAATCCGGGCCCCGCGCATGCGCCCGTTCTCCTCCCTACTTCGCCCGCGTTCCAGCCTACACTTTCGGTGGGCGGGAGCAGAAGGACGGCAAGGCCAATCTGGGCACGTCTGGCGGTCACATGATGCGGGCCTCACACGCCTCAGCAAATCCCCGGAGGCTCGGGGGGGGGGGGGGGGGGGAAAGCCGAATGCGCTTGGCCTTCCTACACTATGGTGGTTGGGGTGGGTCATTTGGGGTGTCCTACTATGGAGAGAGCTAGGAATCAGAAGGTCCGGTTAGCGTCCAATTAATCAAAGGGCACTGACGGAAGAAAAAGCCCTTTGTAAGAGAATTCCTAACAAGTCTAGGAACTTTGAGCTAGGTCACAGGTCAAGTTCCAAGAGCCCCACCTCCGACGTCTACATGGTCCCCTCCCTCCTGATGTCCATCACGATTATCTTCACGTGTGTTCATTCATTCGACACACGTTTATGGGACTGAAGCTGTGGTGTCTCTCTCATAAGCTTCTGAACTCACTCGGTCTCATACTTCTCCATGCCCCACTGGCCAAGCAAAACGTGCCATAGTAAGCACTTGTCACATAATGGTTGAATGAGTGCAGGGGATCAGTGGATCATATTGATAGGGTTGGAATCTGGGCCCCAGAAAGGAAAAACCCTGGACTTTCCCACTTGGCCAAATCTCTGGCGGTCCCCTGAGGCTATAATCCCATCAACTGGCCTTTCACTGTGGCTACACCCAATCTCTCCTCCATTGTCTTGCCTCCCTGTGGCCCCAGGCCACTTCCCACCGTAGGTCCCACCTAGGCTCCATTTCCCACCCTTGGTAATTCTATTACCTCATGGACTACTTGGCCACTCCTAGATCCCTCCCACAGTCTTTCTGTATATAAGGTCCATCTTGTCGCCATTAAGAGGCTCTGATTCTTACAATCTAGCCAATAGCCCATAGATGCTCAGATTCCTTAAGAGTCTACCTAATAGGGTGAATCTTCAATAAACCTTGTTTTTGGCTGCAAGAAGGTTTGGGTCGAACTCTTTCGGGCAAGACCCGGTGTCATGATTTTGGGATTCCAGGACCTCTAACCTCTAGACCTTATCGTAATCGAAGGTCATCTGACCCCATCCAAAAGTCATCATGCTACTCACATAAGACAGAGACAATTAGCTGACATTTTCATCCTGTCATCTTTGTATTAGACTTATTCGTTTCAACAAAATTTGCCAGAAATATTGTGGAAATTTGGAGGAGAGGAGAGAAATCCTGTTTAAATATTTTCAAGATGATTTCTTCCCTATCTCCATTTTAATGTTTCACTTCTTTAGTCTTCTCTTGGGGAAAGAATGTCAGGGCTAGAAGGTCATGGGCATCTGCCCCATACATATATGCACCCCATGAATTATATAAGCTTACCTTGGCAATATACTTTCTAGGAATGTACACATTGATAATGAGGTTGATGCATGCATTGCCAGAGCTAGCTTAGTGGTTGGGAGGGTCTGAAGGAAAGTGTGGGAGAGAAGAGGTATTAGACTAAGTACCAACTGAAGGTCTACAGAGAACATTATGCTGACCTCATTGATGCTTGTGAAACCTGGACAGTATACCAGTGCCATGCCAGGAAACTGATTTGCTTCTATTTGAATTGTTTTAGGAAGATTGTGAAGATCACCTGGCAGTATAAGATACCAGACACTGAGGTCCTTTCTCAAACTAAACTGCCAAGCATTCAAACTCTACTATAGAAAGCACAACTCCAAAGGGCTGGCCACATTGTTTGAATGCCAAATGTAAGCTTGCCCTAAAAGACTATTTCATGGAGAGCTCACACAAGGTAAGTACTCACATGATGGTCTGAATAAGCGATATAAGGAGGGCAGCTAGATGTCGCAGCGGAGAGAGCATCGGCCCTGGAGTCAGGAGGATCTGAGTTCAAATGTGACTCAGACACATAACACTTACTAGCTGTGTGACTTGGGGCAAGTCACTTAACCCCAATTATCTCACCCCCCAAAAAAATCAATACGGGGACACTCCCAAGATCTTTCTTAAGAACTTTGAAATTGCCACAAGACTCATGATGGAAAATGCTATCCACATCCAGAGAAAGAACTACGGAATACAGATCGAAGCATACTATTTTCTCTTCTTTTTGGTTTTTTGTTATTCTTTTTTGTGGTTTTTCCATTTTGTTCTGATTCTTCTTTCATAACATGACTAATGTGGAAATACATTTAAGATGATTGTACATGTATCAGATTGCATGCCATCTTGGGAAGGAGAGAAAGGAGGGAGGGGGGAAATTTTAGAACTCAAAATCTTATAAAAGTGAATGTTGAAAACTAAGAATAAATAAATAAATTAATTTTAAAAAAGCAAAACAAAAAAGAACTTTGGAATTGATGTGTGACTCAGGAGACACTGGCACAGGACCATCCAGCATGATGTGCCCTCATCAGAGAAGGTGCTGTGCTCTATGAGCAAAGCAGAATTGAAGTCGCTCAAAAGAAATGCAAGAGGCACAAATTTGGAGAATCCACCCCAAATATTCACATGAACTATTTGTGCCAGACTTGTGGTAGAACATTCCGAGTTCAAATGGGTCTGAGCAGCCACAGTCCGACACATTGTAACTTGACTCTAACATAGTGATGTCATTTTGGTCCTCTTGGAAAAGGAAGGACAACCAACCAATAAGCACTCTGAGAACTTTGCTATCTCTTATAAAGCCTAGAAGTGAAGAACTATAGTCATTGCTCCCTGCTGCCATCTACTGGACTTTTTGGTTTTGTTTGTTTGTTTTGGTTTCTCCCCAGATATTAGGTTGCCCGGCCCAAGCTGTACCAAAGGAGAGAAGAGGGAAGGTAGTTTGGCATATTGGAAAATCCCTGAATTTAGAGTCAGGCAGGGGACTTGAGTTATAGTCCTAGCCAGACTAGCTGAGTGACTTTGACTAAATTATTTAACCTTTCTGTTCTTGTTCAGTAGTGTCTGAATCTTAATGACCCCTTTTCTTGGCAAAGATACTAGAGTGGTTTGCCATTTCCTTCTCCGGTTCATTTGACAGACAGGATTAAATGACTTGTCCAGGATCACACAGCTAGTAAATGTCTGAGGCCAGATTTGATGAGTCTTACTGACTCTAGGCTTGATGTTCTATCTACTGTACCACCCAGCTGCCCATACATTACCTTTCTATGATTCTATTATTTCATCTGTCAAAGGAGGGTCAGATATCATTCTATGAGCTGCTATGAGTGTAGGAGATTTTGAAAATGGCCACTACATTCCTGGGAAAATTCTCCCAGAGAAGACAATACCTTCCCAAGGAGCCTAGGGTTCCTTTCATACGCTGAGTCACTTCTACAACCAGCAGTTATGAGAATAAAGCTGAAATTAAATTAAATTTGGACATATCTCCATGAGTCTGACCAACATGGAATCCAGCCATATGAAGGAAACCCATCACCCTCAGCAATATATCTGGATCCAGGAGAGAGTAGGATTTGGATAATAAAGGCCAGCTCCTTTGAGGGCCTCCGATTTCTAGCTTCATGCTGGCATAGGAAATCTGTTTTCTCTCCATGCATGAGAAAATAAATCACATTAAAGAGTAATTATATATTCATAACTAAATGAGAGAGGTCAGGAAATGTGCAAGGACATAATGAGGGATTCCTCCTTCTTAATCTTGACTCATGCAGGTGCGGTATGCTGTTCAGTGAGGCAGCCCCCCACCCCCTTCTCTGCAGCATTCTGTTTGAGTCATATCCCTGATCTTCCCTAGCAACATTCCTGGCATAGCACATGAGGACACAGGATGATGTGGCAGAGTGTGGGGGCAAGGGTAGGGCAGAATGGTTTAGCACTCTTGAGGAAGTGGGAAAAAGGGCCAATCTCCATTTTCACTAGAAAAGGGGAAATGGCATGGTGCCTCTAAAAAGAATCATAGAGATAATTCTATATATATGAGACAGTTTGGCATAGTTGATTGATCCCCAAAGCGTTTTCCAAACCTTAAGATGCTATCTAAATATCAGCTCTTATTATTATATACACTCCTCTACTAGGGAAGCCAGATATGACCACCCTCCAGAATACTGGACAGTTTAGTGAATCTAGATTAAGAACAGGTGGAAGGGGACGGAGGAGAGGAGAGGCAGGAAGTTTAGGAATCTTTTTTTCCTCCTCACAATTATGTTTTAAAATTACAAAACTGAAGTAAATTTACAGGAAAAAATATAGCATTAAACTCTAACCTAGTTACCCCTTACAGTTTGGACTAGTTTGCCCTTTGTGATATCTCTTCCAGCTCTAAATCTCTGTGGTTCTGTGAAATTTATCTTTTGATCTTTATTAATCTGAATAAGGGTCAGACTCCATTGATTACCTCAGCTAATTAAAAGTCACTGCTTTTGTTAGGTAAGAACACTTCTTGATTCAATCAGTCAATCAGAACCAAGTGTGAACAGGGCCTGCACACTTCATATTTCTAGTAAACTGATTTTTGCCTAAACCATAAAGAGGCCATGGGTTAACTATATGTGTATATGTAAAATATTCCTGCATATTAATTATTAAATATT